GGGGCGGCCTGCTGGTGGGGTGGAGCCCCAAGGAGGCTGACTTGCAGAGGAGAGGGGCTACCAGGGCAGCCAGGAGGCACAGGGGTGCCAGGCTGCTGGGAGCCTTGGGGCTCTGACCTGCCGGGGAGGAGGCCAGGAGGTGAAGGGGGGTGGGGAGAAGAACGGCCATGAGTCACAGGGGTGCCAGACTGCTGGGAGCTGAGTGGTGGGGAGAAGGGAGATGTGGTCTGAGCAGCAGTTCGCCTTCCCCCTGGTACGTGCTGCATGCGTGGCTTAAAGCACCGGTTTCCTTTCCCCCCGCTCCTCCCAGCTAGGAAATTGGACGGTTTCTAAAGTTTTCTGGCTAGTTAAGTGCCAGATAGCACAGGTTTTACTGTATATATTATTAATTTACATAATGGACAAATCCCATATCTCAATCATTCTATTTGTCCATCCCTGTTTTACATGGTTGCAGACTGTCACAGTTAATCACAAGGTATTACTAATCTGCTTACCACACTTAGCTCAACTAGACAAATGCACTACAACTGCTTTGATTATTCCTTTCTAGCCAGACCGAGATAACTGATGGGAAATGACTTGCTTCCCAAAGCTCTCACTTGTGTAAAGCCAAAGAGATTCCTATCTTGTCCTACATACGAGAGGTGTCTTAGAGATGGTAAACAATATGGTTTTAATTGTCAACAATACACTGATAGCATCCAGCTGTATATAATTCTTTACAGGTACCAATATTAGATACCCCAAAGCATACAAGAGAAGAATTTGAAGAAGAACAGATGTCTCAAACTAAACCAGGCCAAGATCAAAATCATGATGGGAGAGGCAAAAGCTGTGAAGACCAAGCTGGAACACTGGATTTCCTCTTCAATCTAGCTTCTCCCACCCCATCCCACTTAAATCAATTTGTAACACTCTGAGTTTCTAGCAGGCTATTCATTAATCCTGGATGACAATTTAGCAATAGTATAAAGAATTGCTTTCCTCTCCACCTTAAATTTATGAGAGAAGAGTTGAAAATTTCTACAAGAAACTGGCAAGCAAACTGCTCATTCGCAACTTCAGAGAAACAGAACATTAATCTACTGTATCTCCACGATCAAACCTTTAGAGCAAGATATAATGGAAAGCACAACTCTTCTACCTAAAAACTACTAACTTCCAAGTCATTTGCAATCACCAGCATAAGATTTTGTTTCTGATTTTTCAAAGCCATCAATGTATGCCAACTCATGATCCAAGGCAGCCATGCTCATCTGGGATAATGCAGTTAACAGGCCGGTCCATTCTCAGGCATACACAATTGTGATGGACATCATTAAATTTGGGGCACCTGTGATGCCCTATTCTGCATATGCCTAGGGACTGCATGTTAACCAGCTTAATATCCCCAGCCCACCTTCCCTCTCTGTAGGCTCAGCACCAGCTGCAGCAGCCTCCAGCCCCATCCACGTGGCAGCAAATGGTGCGAGTGAACACCAGAGGGCTCAGGGGGAACAGAGGGCAGCCACACAGACAGAAGCTGGAGAGAAGCAGCCATTTCCCCTCCAAAGAGCCACTTCTCTCCAGCTGGAAGCATGGCTGCCCTCGGCTACTCCTGCAGATTCCTCTGGCCCACACTCATGCCACCCAGGCCTGCTGCCCTGAGTCTGCAGGTGAGCCCTCCCTCCCTGCCATGATCCATCTGCTGCCAAGGCAATGATCCATCCAGTCTGGGAAAGTTAGTAACCCCCGTCCACCCATAGTTTTTGCCACTGCAACTCTCCCCCTGTGGGGTGTGTGTGCATCGATGCTCGGCTGTGTAGGGTGCCAGCACTGCTGGGGACAGCCTTATTAGCAAAAGAAAACTCAGGCTATGATATCTAGTCTGGAGGTGAAGCGTAAGTAAGGTCTAAGTTATTATTTTGCATGAGGAAGTCTGGCAATGGAATGAGCTCCATAAGGAGACAAGATTAATTTAAAACCCGTCTACCAATTACTGAATATACTGCAAAAAAAGTCTTTTAAACAAAATTTTCACCTATCTTTAATGCTTAAAAATACAAACAAAAATGCATACCCTCTAAAGAGAACTCGCTAGAATCTGAGACAGGCAGAGAATAGATTTCTCTGATTTTGATTATGGACCTAAATTACCTGTGCTGAAATTAAATACTACTGTGACGTGGAAAAAAAACATATGTATAACACCCGGCACTCATATCCTAAGCAGATAGATTATAACTACTTTAGTAATGACTAATCTGGGAACAAATCAAATCTAGGACCTAAAGAGTGAAATGCTTCATATTCCACTAGGTATATCCATGATCATTCAATTGGGGTATCTGACAGAAACTATACAGTGGTTATGCTCTGGATATACTCCAGCATAAGGTTCACCATGGTTAATAGGATTGCCATAATGCTTTGATGCTCAACAGGATCTACGATGGGTTCCATGCTTATGCTGCTATGGTGTCTGAATGGATAATCAGGGAAAAAAGGGCATAAAGAAACTGTTTGCTGTTGCTCTTTTGAGTGGCAGGGACCAGGAAAGAGGAGACGAGTGCCTTATGGGAAGCTCACAACATGTACCAAGAACCACCCAAGGCCCAGTTGTGGTCCCAGCATGCACTGGGAGCATAATCCAGAATGCAAAGGGGTGCCAGAACTCTGGGATAGCTACCCCCAGTGCACCAATCTCAAAGTTGACAGTAGCCACCCTACTTTAAACTGCGTCAAATTTTTGCGCGCAGTGGGGACACACAACTTTGACTTTACAAAATCAGGTGCTTAAAAAAAATCAACCTTAATAAATTCAAACTTCTCAACACGGACATGGCCTTACTGAACACTGGCAGCACTTGTAGAACAGGACTACCAACTTCTTCAGACTGGTATCAAAAGAATTCCTTGCAATTTACATTAGTGTTTCCTACTGCCAATAAAAAAAATACTGCTAAGATTTCCAAAGCCATTGAAAGGAGTTAATCAGGCAATTCCCATTTGTACCAGGACTGAATATGAAACCAAAAGCCCTTTTTGAAAACCTCAGCCAATGAATACAAGTCAGACACCTAATATACCAGATCTGTCTTGTGAAGGAGACCATGATTTCTACAAAGTCTCAAAAGGGAAAAGGGTAACTGTTATTCTGTAACTTTAAAAACAACGAGTAGCCCTATGGCACCTTAGAAACTAAGAAAAATATATAGTATCATGAGCTTTTGTGGGTAAGACACTTCATCAGATGAGCTGAAGTAGAAATAACAGAATCCAAGTGAAAATGTGGATAAAGACAGGGAAATTGGCTTTGTAATGCGATTTTTAAAAATAGCCATTATTCTACAAAGGAATTTCACCACCCAATTACAGAGAAACTGCAGAACTGAAATTAATATACAAATTTGACACTGTTACCATGGGCTTGAACAAACACATTCACAGGTTACCCCACTACAAAACCAATTTCCCCTGGCTTTAACATCTGCATTTCATATCAAAAGCTATGAATGGAACACATCCAGCCCACTTAATTAGCTTCATTTACATGGGTCCCAAAATTGACAGCTACATCTTTTGCTGTTGATTTTTATTTATATGTATGTATCTCAGATTCTGTTATTTCCACTTCAACTCATCTGATGAGGTGGGTCTTACATAGTACCATGAGCTTTTGTGGGTATTTCTGATGATTTCTACAGTTGTTAAAAATGAAAGAATTTCTAAAACTGTTTATTAAAGATGTGATAAATAGCACAAAATTAATTCTCCTTACCTGAGATACATAACCAGGAGGCACAAATATTGGAGGCACAGAACCATTTGGTGACATCATAGGAACATGTGCAGGACCTGAAAAGGGGGGGGAGGAAGTAACTTAAAAATGGTAGCACTTTTTACCACAGTGGATATTCCAAATTTTATCTCCCATCCCTTTTATCTGATGGTTTAAATACAAGCACGCGTTCCTTTTAAAAAAAAACCACACCAGATAAATTACTTATGCTGCAAATCTGCATTTATGCAATCATCTTTAGACAACAAAATTTAAAACTGGACTTGTCAATTAGGAAAACTGTAAGCAAGTCATAGTACATTCTTTTTCTATTAAGACTCATTAAAATGTTTTCATTAGCAGATATGAAGTCACTGCTGTCTGGAGGAACAGGAGTGATTCACTGTTACTCAAAACAATGCATGGAATACAATTTTAATAGCTCACTAAGTCATTTTGTCATGCTACCCTGTAAGTTCTCCAATTCTATGTATACTACTTCAATTTTAAAAACTGTAGATAAGAAATAATCATAACCTCTTTCTGCTCTCACATACCAGATATTAAATACATGTATAGGATAACACTTTTAAAAAAAAACTTCCTGATGAGTAAAATTAAAATATGCAGAAATATTACTCTATTGGCACTTGTAAAAAGCAGCAACTACTTTTGTTAAGAAAATACATTTTCAGAAAGCTGATCTTATTAAGCTTTCCAGCGCTGTTAAGGAGGATGAAAGGCTCAGGAGAATAGAGCATTCAATGGGAGCAGAGGGAAACCATCCCATAGTTGGGACCCTCCTTCCAAAGGATGTTATGGTATCCTCTCTCACTGAGGATACCTTTCTGGGGGAGGTAATGTCAGTGGTTAGGAAGAGGCACGTAGTAGTAGTGGGTGATTTGATAGTTAGAAACATAGAAAGTTGGGTTTGTGATGACCGGGAGAACTGTATGGTGACTTGCCTGCCTGATGTGAAGGTTGCAGATCTCTCAAGGCAAATAGATAAGACTTATGTGTAGCGCTGGGGAGGAGCTGGTGGTTGTGGTACATGTGGGTACCAATGACACAGGGAAAGGTAGGAGAGATGTCCTGGAGACCAAATTTAGGCTGCTAGGAAGAAGACTGAAATCCAGGACCTCTATGGTAGCATTCTTAGAAATGCTTCCTGTTCCACGTGCAGGGCCAGGTAGGCAGGCAGAACTTCAGAGTCTCAATGTGTGGATGAGACGATGGTGTAGGGAGGAGGGATTTAGATTTATTAGGAACTGGAGACACTTTTGGGAGAAGGGGAGCCTATACAGGAAGGATGGACTCCACCTAAACCAAGGTGGATCCAGTCTGCTAGCACTAAATATTAAAAAGATCGTAGAGCAGTTTTTAAACTAAGAGATAGGGGAAAGCCCACTGGTGCAGAGGAGCACGTGGATCAGACGGAGACTTCTCTTAGAGGGGAGTCCATTGATAGAGATTCTCTAGGTTTTAGCCAGAAAGAGAGGAGGGGAGATGATAAAGTATGGGCCAGATCAGAGAAGAAACAATCACATATACAAGAATCTAATACATCGGGCAACGGCAGACAAACAGTGGCAATTTTTTTAAAGTGCTTCTACACAAATGCTAGATGTCTAAATAATAAGATGAGTGAACCTGAGTACCTCGTATTAAAGAAAGATATTGACATAACAGGCATCACAGAAACCTGATGAAATGAGGACAATCAGTGGGACAATCATACCAGGATATAAAATATATCGGAAAGACAGAATAGATTGTGTGGGTGGGGGAGTGGCACTATATGTGAAAGATAATGTAGAATCAAATGAAGTAAAAATCTTAAATGAATCAACATGTTCCATAGAATGACTACGGATAGTAATTCCAAATTCTAATAAAAAAAGTCGTTTAAAAAGTGGAAGTCCAATCCTAGTGAGGTAAATAGAAAGTAATAAACACTGCAAAATTAAGTGTAAAAAGAAATAGCAAAATTTTTTTTTTTAAGTACATTAGAAGCAGGAAGCCCGCTTAAAAAAAAAAGTGGGACCCCTGGACGATAGAGATACAAAAGGAGCAATCAAGAACGATAAAGCCATTGCGGAGAGACTAAATGATTTCTTTGCTTCAGTCTTCATGACTGAGGATGTTAGGGAGATTCCAAAACTTGACCCATCCTTTGTAGGTGATGAATCTGAGGAAGTGTCCCAGATTGAAGTGTCATTAGAGGAGGTTTTGGAACAAAGAGAAAAACTTAACAGTAACAAATCACCGGGACCAGATGGCATTCGCCCAAGATTTCTGAAAGAACAAATGTGAAATTGCAGAACTATTAACTATGGTTTGTAACCTATCCTTTAAATCAGCTTCTGTACCCAAGGACTGGAAGACCGCTAATATAATGCCAATATTTAAAAAGGGCTCTAGAGGCAACCCTGGTAATTATAGGCCAGTAAGTCTAACATCAGTACTGGGCAAATTAGTTGAAACAATAGTAAAGAATAAAATTGTCAGACACGTAGAAGAACATAATTTGTTGGGCAAAAGTCAACATGGTTTCTGTAAAGGGAAATCATGTCTTACTAATCTATTAGAGTTCTTTGAAGGGGTTAACAAACATGTGGACAAGGGGGAATCCAGTAGATATAGTATACTTAGATTTCCAGAAAGCCTTTGACAAGGTCTCTCACCAAAGGCTCTTGTGTAAAATAGGTTATCATGGGATAAGAGGGAAGATCCTTTCATGGACTGAAAACTGGTTAAAAGACAGGAAACAAAGGGTAAGAATAAATGGTAAATTTTCAGAATGGTGAGGTGTAAATAGTGGTGTTCCCCAAGGGCCAGTCCTAGCACCAATCCTAGTCAACTTATTCATAAATGATCTAGAGAAAGGGGTAAGCAATAAGGTGGCAAAGTTTGCGGACGATATTAAACTGTGCAAGACAGTCAAGACCAAAACAGACTGTGAAGAACTTCAAAAATCTCACCAACCTGAGTGACTGGGCAACAAAATGGCAAATGAAATTTAATGTGGATAAGTGTAAAGTAATGCACACTGGAAAAAATAACCTTAACTATACATACAATATGATGGAGGCTAATTTAGCTACAACTAAGGAGGAAAGATCTTGGAGTTATCGTGGATAGTTCTCTGAAAACGTCCACTCAGCGTGCAAAAAAACCAATAGGATGCTAGGAAATATTAAAAAAACAAAAAGAGAGAGAGAAAGGAAAGACGAAGAATATCTTACTGCCCTTATATAAAACTATAGTACGCTCACATCTTGAATAGTGTGTACAGATGTGGTCTCCTCACCTCAAAAAAGTTATTGTGGCATTAGAAAAGGTTCAGAAAAGAGCAACTAAAATGATTAGGGGTTTGGAACAGGTCCCATATGAGGAGAGGCTAAAGAGACTTTTCAGTTTAGAAAAGAGGAGACTGAGGGGGTATATGATAGAGGTATATAAAATCATGAGTGGTGTGGACAGGATGAATAAAGAAAAAAGTTATTTACTTGTTCCCATAATAGAAGAACTAGAGGACACCAAATGAAATTAATGGGTAGCAGGTTTAAAACTAATAAGAGAAAGTTCTTCTTCATACAGCGCAGTCAACCTGTGGAACTCCTTGCCAGAGGAGGCTGTGAAGGCTAGGACTATAACAGAGTTTAAAAAAAAAAGAGCTAGATAAATTCATGGAGGTTAGGTCCATAAAAGGATCTTAGCCGGGGGTAAAGAATGGTGCCCCTGGCCTCTGTTTGTCAAAGGCTGGAGAAGGATGGCAGGAGACAAATTGCTTGATTATTGTCTTCGGACCACCCCTTCTGGGGCACCTGGTACTGGCCACTGTCGGAAGACAGGATACTGGCCTAGATGGACCTTTGGTTTGACTCAGTATGGCCATTCTTATGTTCTTAATAATATGCTAAGAGAAAGTGAACAGACATTAGACAAACTTTATGGACTTTATCTGACATGCAAAAATAATTATTTCAACTGTGTAATATAATCATATGAATCAAATTTTGAAGCCATACTCAAATCTGCAGGCTTGCCATTTGCTGCTATGGAAGAAGTCCTTCATAAATATGCAGCTATCAGTACCTACTCTAATAGCAACAGGCTACAAATGCCAGTGTTACACTGATTTTTGCCATACAATAGCTATTAAAATAATTAAAGTAAAACCTCAGCAAATTAAAGTATTAAATTCTGACATGATTGACTTGTAATGATCTTGTAATCTAAGGGCTGGTCTACGCTACCGTGGGAGATTGATCCAAGTTACACAATATAAGCTATGTGAATAACATAGCTGAAGTTGACATGCTTAGATCTACTTACTTCAGTGTCTTCACTGCGGGGTTTCCCTTGGAGACACCTTCCCATTGACTCCCCTCTCGCTTCTCATTGAGGTGGAGTACCAGAGTCAATGAGAGCAATTGGCAGTCAATTTATCACATCTACACTAAACATGATAAAAATCAACCCCCACTTGATTAATCAGTCATATCAATCTAGCCCATTGTGAAAAAATGCCCTAATTAAAGGCACTCTGAAGCACTTGGAAGAGGGGAAGTGATCAGGAATAGTCTACATAGATTCATGAAAGGCAAATCATGCCAGGCAAATCTGATTAGCTTCTATGATGAGGTAACTGGCTCTGTGGATATGGGAAAGTCAATGGATGTGATATACCTTGACTTTAGCAAAGCTTTTCATACTGTCTCCCACAATATTCTTGCCAGCAAGTTAAGGGAATATGGATTGGATACACGGACTGTAAGATGGATAGAAAGCTGGCTAGACTGTTGAGTCCAACAGATAGTGATCAATGGCTCGATGTCAGGTTGGTTTCTAGCGGAGAGCCCCAAGGATCGAGCCTAGGACCAGTTTTGTTCAACATCTTTATTAATGACCTGAATGAGGGGATGGATTGCACCTTCAGCAAGTTCGCAGATGACACTAACCTAGGGGGAGAGGTAGATATGCTGGAGGGCAGCGATAGGATCCAGAGTGACCTGGACAGATTAGAGGGTTGATCCAAAAGAAATCTGATGAGGTTCAAAAAGGAGAAGTGTAGAGTCCTGCACTTGGAACAGAAGAATCCCTAGCATGGTTACAGGCTGGGGACCGAATGGCTAAGTAGCAGTTCTGCAGAAAAGGACCTGGGGATTACAGTGGATGAGAAGCTGGATATGAGTCAAGAGTGTGCCCTTGTAGTCAAGAGGCCTAATAGCATATTAGGGTGTATTAGGAGAAGCACTGCTAGCAGATCCAGAGAAGTGATTATTTCCCTTTATTTGGCTCTGGTGAGGTCACATCCGGAGTATTATGTCCAGTTCTGGGCCCCCCACTATAGAAAGGATGTGGATGCATTGGAGAGGGTCCAACAGAGAGTGACCAAAATGATTAGGGGGCTGGAATGCATGACCTATGAGGAGAGATTGATGGATTTGGGTTTGTTTAGTCTGCAGAAGAGAAGAGAGCGAGGGGGGATTTGACAGCAGCCTTCAACCTCATGAAGGAAGGTTCCAAAGAGGATGGAGAAAGGCTGTTAACAGTAGTGACAGATGGCAGAATGAGGAGCAATGGTCTCAAGTTACAGTGGGAGAGGTCTAGGTTGGATATTAGGAACAACTATTTCACTAGGAGGGTGGTGAAGTACTGGAATGGGTTACCTAGGGAAATGGTGGAATCTCCATCCCTAGAGGTTTTTAAGTCTCAGCTTTGACAAAGCCCTGGCTGGGTTGATCTAGTTGGGATTGGTCCTGCCTTGGGCAGGGGGCAGGACTTGATGACCTCCTGAGGTCTCTTCCAGCTCTGACTGGCACTATATGTTATAAATAACCAGAAAAGTTTAAGATATAGTACATTCAAGATTTAACTTTTAACATTTATCTTCCAATAGATACCTATTCATGCCTATGGAACAAACTCATTCACCGTATGATTAAAAATATAATTATACTTATGACTACGTAATGGAAGTCTTATGGAAGTAGTTTTATGAAGAATCAAATATTTTTTCCTGTTTAACACATCTGATTGAACTCACTGGAATTTTCTTTTACCTTGAATACACTGGATGTGTCCATCTTCAGTTCTAATTGTGAAAGTTTCTCCTGGGTTTACCTGCACAAGTATAACCTAAAAAAAACAAACAAAAAAAGCCCTTGTAATTTTAATAAACAACATTAAGTATTTTAGAGATTAGCTTTCCTTTCCAGTGTCATCTTACAAAATTTCTTAAAAGCAAATAGGGCAAGTTTAGAAATACCAATATGGGATGAATTCCCAGTCTCAATAAGTCATACAGTTAGCTTTTATTCTGACATCAAAATTGTTCCAATAATATCTACCAGTCATTTCCCTAGTTATAGCTGAAAGGTTAGCTATACTTGAAACTACTTTGTCAACTCTGTTTAAGCCACTTCCTTCTATTTTTACTAAAATACCACCAACATGTGATTTAAGAACTAGATACTTTATGCAAAGTAAATACATTTTGCTTTATAGTCTTCCTTATGACACCACCTCGTCAATCTGATAATTGAACTGACAAGAACAGGTATCTAGACAGAATATTTATAAAGGACGTTTTATAACAGGAGAAAGTTTTATCCAAGATCTCTCTCACTGAAAATAGGTTACGGTTTGACACTGCATTCTCTAAAGACCAAATTCTTTTTTCTTCATGAAATTATTTCTGAACTTGGTAATTAACAGTTTTCAGGTCTTGTCTTTTTCAGAATGAGAAGCCTAATTTCCTGAGACTCTTTCAACCTACTTTAATTATGCTTTATAATCAAATAGATATAATATACTGACTGTTTGTATTTGACTATTTGAAATAGATAATGCCTCTGGTTGTAGTCGATGTCAGGTTTTTTTCCCCTGAAGATAAAACCCTTCTGCATTGTAACATTGAACCTATTTTATAAGCCATTCTTTGTATCAGCGTACAGCAATAAATTAAAACCTGCCTTAAACTTTAAGTCAATTCTTGGTTTGTTTACAATTGTGCATTTGGCTCTATGACTTGTAATAGAAGCCATAGAAGGAACTGCAGCAGAAGGGATGGTGACAGCAAGTAATACAAACACACGCAACTAGGGATGTAAAATCCCATTTATTTAGTTAACTGGTTAAATGTTTAAGTTTAACTAATTAACCAATTAACTGGGAGTGGGGGAGGGGGAGGAGAAAAGCCATGGGGAACCACTACCCTGCCCTGCCGAGATGACTGGACTCCAGACCCTCCTCCGGCCCACAGGATCATGCCCAGGCAGGCCCCTTCCTATGTCCACCTCCAAACTGCTTGAGTCCAGATGTTCCCTTGCGAACTGTGTTGTATACCTGCAGTCCAGCAGCCACTTTAAAGTGTATCTATGGACTTTCACATTTCCACTGTCTCTAGAAAGATCTTCTCTGTATGTTAACAGATTAGATCTTTGGTTCCACAATGTATCTCTTATAATGCCTACCCTTGAAACTTTTCGTTAACAGGAACAGCAAGGAATTTGCTGTGTACTCCCCCAGCTGTCCGGCTTGCACAAATCCGCATGCAAACATGGACAAGGGAAGACATGTTCATGGAGCAAATTGAGTGGTGGAATATGCTACTAGAGAAGAGGACAGAGGTATGGTAGGAGAGGACAGCGTGCAGTCAACTGCAAATGTAGCACCAGGACAATGTGTTTTTGTCCTTGTTGGCTGTGATGGAGCGCATGGCAAAGTGCCTGAGGAGGCTTCCCTCTCAGCCCCTGCAAAACAATTTCCCCTTTTTGCCCAGTTCTGTAGCCTCCATGCCAACGGGCCCTAAGACACCGGGGAGGGGAGGGAGGGAGAGAACAGGAGGCGGCGGCGGCAGCACCTAGGCAACTCAAGGGCAGCCTCACACTCAACCTCCAGTGCATCATGAAGCAAAAGTCTGTCCTCACATTTCTGATTCGCCCTCTCTTCTTTGGGACCCAAACCATGGACTCCTTTTCTATCTCTGCTATGTACCCTAAATAAAAAAAATGATTTCTGAAAAATAGTCTCTTCATTGCTTGTACTGCAGCGGTAGGGTCGGGGAAAACACGCAAACACACTGAATGCAGGGGCACCTCGTTGAGAGCAACGTGCATGACTCTCAAAACTGACCATTCCTAAATCTTTCAAAGCCCCAAGCTGTGCTATTCTTATTGCCCTGGTGTCTGGCTGCTCAAAATCTCTGGCTAGGTGCTCTGCCTGAGCCCCCCACCCTGCAAGCCCACAGCAGGCTGCCACCAGAAACGGAATCTTGTGTTTGCGGCCGTCTAACCTAGTCAGTAGGCTTCTAAACTTTCCCTTTAATGCCCTAAAGCACATTCAATCCTCATTCTGTACTTCATCAGCCTGTAGATGAACTGCTCCTTACTGCAGTCCAGGTTGACTGTGTACAGGCTTCATGAGCCACAGGAGCAAGGGGTAGGCTCAGTCACTAAGGATCCCTATTGGAATTTCTACCTTTCCAATTCTAATTTTCCAGTCTGGGAAAAACATTCCAGCTTGCAGCTTTCCGAAGAGGCACAAATTCCTAAAGATGTGTGTGTCATGCACCCTTCCCGACCATTCCACTTTAACGTTGGTGAAATGGTCCTTCTGATCCACCAGTGCCTGCAGCACATTTAGTGAACTCCATCACGGCAAATTCCTCCACTCTGGCATCCATGTTTCCCAATCATTACCCCTGTAGCAGAATGGCATTGATTGCTTTGGCTACTTCAATTACAGCAGCCCCACTGTAAGTTTCCCCATTCCAAACTGATTCCCAATCGACCAGTAGCTGTCTGGTGTTGCAACCTTTCATAGGGCGATTGCCACGCACTTCTCCACTGTCAGAGCAGGTTTCATTCAGATACCCCTACACTTCAGAGCAGGGAAAGCCCTTCACAAAGTTCCATGAAAGTGGCCTTGCACATTCAGAAGTTTTGCAGCCACTGTTCATCATCCCTCCTGCAGCACTATGTGGTCCCACCAGTCTGTGCTTATCTGACAGCCCCAGAACCTGTGTTCCTCTGAAATCAGTGGATCAACTGCTGGCTGCATTTCTAATTAGCTCAACTCAATGGCTTGCATCCCAAGATTCATCCTCATCCTCTTCCTAGAGTGCTATGCATATGCTCTAGACATATTCCACAATTAGGTAGAATGGGATTCATGAGGGGGGACCATACTCATGCTTCTATGGCATCTGCGTGTAACTAGGTCCAAAAAAGACACTGATCTCAAGCAAGGGGGGAGTGAGTAAACAAGTGCATTATGGGACACTGACGACATGAACCCAGAACCATCTGCTGCACAGTTTTGGTCCCAGTTAAGATGCAAGAACTGTGGAACAGTGCATCGCTCTCAAAGTTGATAGTGCATCATCAGTAGGGAGAATACTTTGAACTAAGAATGCTAAAGACTAGCTGACTATCTGATAAGCATTTGCTTATCGGATAGTCGAGTCGACTAGTCGCTTCCCCCCTCCGCTGCCTCTATCAGATATAGGCAGCAAAGGGGAGGGAGAGGGAATACTTCAAAGCGACAGCACTGCATGGAGCCTGGGTACAGGCTCTGTGTGGTGCTGCTGCTTTAAAACCCTGTGGCACCATACAGAAGGGGCAGCACTGCACAGCTGATCCCAGGCTCCATGTGGCACTGCGTTTCAAAGCAGCAGTGCCACGTGCAGCCTGGGGTCAGCTGGGGACTCCCTAGCTGACCCTGGGCACCACATGACATTTCCACGTGACATTTCCCCAGCTGACTCCAGGTCCTGCAGAAATGCCTCTCCGAGCCTGGGATCAGCTGGGGAGTCCCCGGCTGACCCCAGGCTCCATGCGGGCGCTTCCACTTCCACTGGGGACTCTTGTACATTTCAAAGCTGGCACGCTGCTTGCAGCTCGGGTCAGTGGGAAGTCCCACTGACTCAGGGCTCCACGTGGGGGCTTCCATCAACTAGTGAATTCCATCAACTACTCGACTAATACATTAATCCATATTTAGCATGCTTCCTTTGAACTATGTTGAATTCTTGCACAGTGAGGAGACATGGACCTTCAAATTTACAAAAATCAAGCAGTAAAAATGAATAAATAAATAAATAAATAAATTTTAATACATTTGACCTCATCTCAGTGTAAATCTGGCCTCAATTTCATGATACAAAAAATTGTTCTAATTAACAGCCTAATGAACTACACCAGTGGTTCCCAACCTTTAGAGGCTCCCGGGCGCCCGGGCCGCGCGTCCTGGGGCACACCAGGGGCGGGGATGCTCTTGCACCCAGCGCC